GAGAGAAAGGCTCCTGGGTTGGGGCATCCCTGCTGGGGCAGGGGCTGCATTTCCTGGGGTTGCCAATGTCCTGGGGTAGGGCTTGAACCCCAGCAGCGTTTGGTCCACAAAGTGTAGGTGGAGCTCAAAGTGGGTCCCCAGTGACACTGGCTCCCTATGAGGAAAGTGGGTGGCACCGAGCACCCACAGTGCAGCACAGGGACCTGCAGTAACCATGGTCCCCCGGGGGATGCTGACATTCAAGGTTTGGCTCCCTTTTTGGGAAAGGACATTTACCCCTGAGTGGCTTTGTGCCAGTCTGGGAAGAGAGATTGCACCTCTTGAGCACTAGTCTGGCTCACATTACATTCCTGAATTCCAGCCAGCACCTCTGTCCTCCTGTCAGATGCACTGCGCTGTTCCCCACAGAGCTGCGGGCACTAGTGGTACATGAAGAACTGTGGAATGGGTCAGGATACAACCCTAGGGAGATAAGATTGGAGTCCACTTAGAAAAGGGTGCTTAAAACAGAGGCAGGACTTGGACAGGCCCTCTGCAAGCAGGCTGTGGTGCAGCCAGCCCCTGCCTGCACTGAGCACAGCCCTGCATCTGACCTCTCCCTTCTCCCAAAATCACGAGCAAGCTCAAGAAAGTTTAGGGACCTGACTCTGAGTGTCCAAGTAAGAAACAGCTAAAGCATGTCTGGCACAGACCCAGCCCATGCTGACCAGCTAACATGGACATTTCCTAGCCATCATGTGGCCATCAGAGACAATTCCCAGCAGAGAATTTGCAGGCAGCACCAGTACTGGAGATTAAAAGGACTTAAGAGAGATGGAGACCAGTTGTTAGTTTGCCTCAATGCCTAGAGGCATCCTTGGGCACATGTAAATCTGCTTATACTCAGTATAGCCCTCTCACACACTTCTGTTGTGTCATATTTGGGTTTTAAGTGACACTTGCAGTAACTGGACCTGTGACAGATCCAGCAAGAGATCTCAACATCTAACACACCACTTATTTCACCACTTATTTTCAACTAGATACAGACTATGGAGAGCCACTTGAGATAGGAATATGTCATCAAAATGTACTATAGAAAAGTCCATCACAGACCTAAAGGAGAATGGGGAATGGAAATATCTTATTCTTCCTCACTTCCTTGGGGTATTGTGGGGTCAAAATTTTCAGTCAGCTGCATGGACATTGCTTCTTCAGCTGACAGTACAAGGTTCTGTAAAAAAAAAAGCACAATGAAATTACTTCATGCCAATCACAAGAAATGTGAAGCAGATAACCTGGAAGGAGGGGAAGCAATTAATGATGTCATTCTGGGCTTCAGAAGAGCAAGTCATCCACAGCAGCTATTCTGACTACTTTACCACAGCCAGCTTTAGTAAGAGGTTCAGGAAAGATTTTGTTGTAAGAACCCTCCAGGGTTTCCAAATCTAAGGAGGATTCTACTGGTTAGTGCAGCAACATCACAATCACACTGGAAGATCCAGCACACCCTCTTTGGCAAATTAATCCAGATACTGGAACATGTTGGTTTACCCTTTATAGCTCAATATTTCAAATCTATTTTCAAATCACACCTTCTTTTTCCTTATAACATGCTGTACAATAAAGTCAGCTGTTTTGACACATCAAGAGCTCATGAATTGCCTTCCCATGGGCACTGTAGCATGGATGTGGTGGCACTGCAATAGCACCAGCACCAACCTCATGCACCACCCCAGAATATCCAAAGGGCAGCAGGGCATGACCTGATGTCATGGACTGTTAAATCCAGGGCCTGTGGGAGAGGAGTTGTGGGCACTGACTGCCTGCAGGAACCTCTGTGATGCAGTGACAGCAGCTCATGGTCCCAGCACTGATGTGTGTCCCCTGTGTGTAGCCATGAGATGCTGGAGTGAATCTGAGCTTCAGCATGAAAGATGTTCATTGCCCACTGCTGCTATTTCTAGCAACAGATGAGTCTTTTAAATCCCTTGATATGGTAAAAGAAAGGTCCTTGTGAAGCTAGAGAAACAAATTGTCTACTTTTAAAAATACATCTCCATGCTTTGTATGATGTTTCTCAATACATGAGACTTCCTTCAGATTGATATATTAAGAACAAGATGTTATGAAATATCTAAACTGAGATGGGTATCTGGACTGTAACAGATATGTTCACCTTGCAAATCTGGTTTTATGTGTCACTGTTTCCAGCATATTTACATATTTCTCCAAGACTATTATTTCAAAGTAGTTTTTGTCTTAGTTTATTTCCCCTCTCTTAGTTCCTTTGTTATTTTTTTCAAGTTCAAAATTTATACATAGTCAGTTTATTGTATCAGATCTTTTAATTAATACCTGATTAAAGGTATTAGCTGGCAATAGCTTGCTGCAAATTCCAATTGGCCTTGCTTTCCATTTGACATTAATGAGTCTATTTTCCTGTACAATTAGACCTGCCTTAAGTGACCACTCAGGAGTACAGCCAAATCTCTGATTTAATG